CACATGTACGCGAGTATCACGTCTTAATTACTTCAATAAATATCACAAATAGCACTACTCCTTTCAAGGCAAGTCTTCACTTTCTTATTGTCGTAGGAAAACTATTTAAACATTTTAAATTAATTTAAAAAAGTTTTTTAATGTTTCTTCCTCTCTTTGCAATTTTATGTATTTTAAAACATTTGAATAATTCTACAATACTATTTTCTTATTTCAAAAGTAACATTAATTCAAAAAATTAAATTTTCCAGAAAAGGAAAAAAATTATTTTTTAACTTAATAGAAAACGATTGACTAATCAAATAATATCTAAAAAGTAAACATAACCAAACGTCATTTTTGTTATTTTCATTTCATAATTCTTAAAAATCACCCTTTTTAAATTGCGATGACATTTTTAGTTAATTATTCTTATTAAATCATGACTTTGATATTTTTTTAAATAAAGTTAAGTCAGTCCACTTTTAATGAACTAAGATTGGTAGATTTATTTAATTCATTAATAGTAATAATTCGAAAGTCACATTTTTTAGTTGTGTCATTTTCGAAAGGAGATATTATATTTTTATAAAGTAAATAATCATAAATGGATAATAAAAGCTAGTCTTACTAGACAATATTGATTTTAATCAAATATGTAAATGTTAATTATCTTGCTTATGATGTGAATCATAGACAAACATATTCAAGGTAAATATCACATTCATGAGCCTGGTGGTAATGTCAGGAGTGTAAAATATTATGCTGATCCTCACGGCGAGTTTTATGCCGAAGTTTATAACTACGGCGGGAATGAGCATTTGGGTGGCACATATGGTCATAAACATCGATAGTTGAAAAAAATATCATAATGAACAACTATCGATAAAATGATTAATGAACAAATTAAAGGTGACTAACAAAAATAATGTTATAAATGCGTCTACATTCTGTACAAACTCGATCGTAACCAATATATCGTTAAATACTTATTTTATATTCTGTGAATTATATGTTGTTGAAATATTATTCTTATAAGTTGTTAATATTTTATCTCTTTACAGTAGATAAAAATATATTGTGTATCAATAAAAAATATTATTACATAATTTGTAACTCGTATTAATTATTGCGCATCTATAAATATCTTATTTTAATTTCAATTCGCATTTTTCTAATTTTTGATAACAAGCATTATATAAATGATGAGAATTAAACATTTTTTATAAGAGAAAAGACACGCTTCAAATTCATAAAAAAAAATATGAACAATTATAAGTGAAATTTAAACTGACAAGGAATTAAATAAGAAAAAGAAACTTCTTTTCTAACAAAGCAAATCTTGATGCTAATATTCATATGCAAGTAAAATATAAGACTAATAATAACGTAATTTCTACATTAAGATTATATATTGATGTAGAAATATCAGTCACTCATTTCTTTATAATTTTCGAAACGGATTCTTCTTTGGAATTCATTCCTAGTTTTACCGCAATCGCGTGATCTCGTTTCATCAAAACGAGTGGGAGCTACTTGCACAGTTTCTGCTGACCGAATGCAGCGAAGTTGGCCAATCTCTCTCATCAGCACGCCGCAACATGTTTTTATTCCGTTCTCGCGCACACTCGACCTCTCGAGTCAGCAACGGGACGGATCGACTATGATGGCATCGCAGAAAGATGAAGGAAGTGCAAAGCAGGGTAAACGACGTGGCGTGGCAAGGGTGAGAGGAGCAAGACCGAAATTTTATGCCCTCTCAAATTTGAACAATAGCGACAAATGGATTGGTCATTGTACAAGAGATCGATCAGTCATTATGTTATTGACCCTGTCAATTTTGTTGTCAATTTCGTCACCAATTCCGTTGTCAATCTCGACAGTTTCTAATGCGGATAATCTCATTATCTAACGCTTCGGCAATTTCTATTAAGTTCTCTTAGCGGAGACTATACAGTATACAAGGATGTTCTGGCGCTGAGATAGAAATGTTGAATTTCCTGGAGCGAGTAGCCAGGGTTTCACATTTTGCAACATTTTCGAGCTTATAATCCTTGCCCTCGGATTGAACTAACAACCGGTTGAATTATTACGCTATCATAAACAAATAATAGTTATTAACGAGCTAAGTAATCATGGACTGGATGTTGCAAAATTTTTGTAAACGTAACACATTTCATCATTTATAGAAATAATGACCTTATTCTCGCTTCTACCAGCTACATAAACGCTATTACATATTGCATGCAAAAACAGTTCGTTCTAAAAGAGAATTGGAAATTTTATACATAATTTTACATATCTAACCAAACTGTGCACGCTGAATCACTATTCGTCTTTCAATTTTACATGTCGTGGTATCTTTCCAGCTAGACTCGTTCGAAATTGTCGCATCGAAGATTGCGACAATCAGATGAGGACTTATTAGCATAATTCCTGTAGTGTTCCTCTAGTGCCCGCTGTACCGTCCAAGGTACATGATTTTCACTT